AGGGACATCAAGATTATTAGAAAGAGAGAACTAAAGAAAGACGTGTATGGGGTGAGTTCACAAGGATAAGAAAAGGAAGTGAGGAGGTTAAATATAAAGAGCAGCAATTATTTTGTGCTTGACTAGTTTTTACTGACTGCTCCGCATGGGGTATTGACTAATTAAGGGAAATGATATTAGTGGAAAGTAGCTGAGAAATTCTACTAACTTCTGGAATGTGTTCTCTTTTCATTTATGTTAATACTGTGATTTAATTTTGAGTTTAACTTTTATGGACTAACGGTGAAAAAAATATTTATACATAAATTACTTAAAAGATAGTTTCAGATGATTTTTTTTGTAAGAGCATTGATTGATAATCTTTAACAAAAATTAATTACAGTGACTGTGGAGATTATTTATTATATTGTCCATGCATAATATCTTCTCTAAGGCCACAACACCTCAATATTGAAGCTATTAAGTTTTCAAGCAGCATATATAATTTTGCATGCGTCTCTTTAAGCTTCTAGTTCAGAAAACTTTTACAAGACCTGACTTGTAGATTCACCTGTCTTCTATGGATTAGAAGTCAAATATACTTAATAGAATCATTGGCTTAATTGTTGTCAATACAATGATTTTGAATCTTCTCTAGTGTTTAGCTAGTTTCAGTTCAGGTATGTTAAGTCTATCCCTCCTTTCTTTTGGCTTGATCCATATGATATAAATGAAACGAGAAAATTCACAACTTCCATAAATGACTTTATTCATAAAAGTGCTAGAAGTGCCTATGTTCTTGAATTCTCATGTGTGTCACAACCCTAAAACTGACCCGGTCGTGATGACGCCTATCGTGAAACTAGGTTAGCCGACACAACTCCCAAATTAACCATTTAATAAATAATAACCATTTTTTAAGCCTTTAATTAATCAAATATCTCATGATAAAAATCTAAATGAACAGTGTGGAATAAATGCTCAAGCCCTACATCGGGGTGTCATTAGTCACGAGCATCTACTCAGGCCTGAATACAACAAGAGTTTAAAAATGTACTAAATATAGTCTAAGAAAGACAAGAGGGAGAAAAGCAGTGCTGCGAACCTTGGGCAGCTACCTTGCTAACTCCAATAACTCTGCCACTGAGCAATCAACACCATCTACCGGGTTTAGAACTACCTGAATATGCACACAAGGTGCAGAGACTAATGTGAGTATGCCAACTCAGTAAGTAGTAAAGGTAAATGAAAGCTGAGTAGTAAGAAAACACGTAAGACACAACATAACGCTACAGCAAATGCAGTACCTTTCCAAAACAGTACAGAAATTGTTTTCTTCATAAATCAAGCTTAGTTTTAGTAAATCCATTTTTAAACAACTTTCAATAGTTTCAAACGAGTGATAAAAAAAGTGAGTAAAAATGATAGAAACGTAAACAGCCCATCGGGCAAAATATGTACCATAAACCGCCCATCAGGCATAATATCAACAGAACCAGCCCCTTGGTCTACCGCACAATCACTCGTAATCAGCCCCTCGGGTAAACATGGATAAGGAACAGCCCCTCGGGCATCAATATGAAATGACAACAGCCCCTCGGGCTACAACATATCACTCACACTGGGTACCAACGCTCACTAGGGGTATACAGACTCCGGGAGGGGCCCCTTACGGCCCAAACACAATAACAAGACATCTAGTGGCATAATCAAACAGGCTCTCAGCCTCATAACAACAAGCCACCTCGTGGCATAAATCAATCAGACCCTTGGCCTCACAATATCGTGAATCAATAACAACCTGCTGCGGCGTGCAGCCCGATCCCATATATCCTCACAACACAGGCCCTCGGCCTCGCTCAGTCAGAAACCTCTCAAGCTACTCCGGCAACAGTAAAACATGATGCTCAACCCAAAATATCATTTAAAATATAAAAAATGAGTAAATATGGCTGAGTTATGAAAACAGTAGAATATAGCATGACTGAGTACAAATATAAAGTAAAAACAGTGAGGAATAGTAGTAAAAATCCCCTAAGGGTCCAAAACAGTTGGCAGGAAGCCCAAATATGGCATTCAGCCCAAAACATGGTAATAATTTCCAAAACACAACGACATCAAATAGTTTTCAATCAAATTCGCGACTTAACAATCATACCGGACAGACTAAGTCACAATACCCAATGGTGCACGACCCCACGCTCGTCATCTAGCGTGTGCGTCACCTCAAAGTAGCACAACGATGTGAAATCAGGGGTTTTATACCCACAAGACAAATATTTACAATCATTACTTACCTCTATCCGATTCAAACTCTAGCCCGTGATGACTTTGCCTTTCTAATCGGCCTCTAAATGCTCCAAATCTAATAAAAATCAGTATATTATCATCAATAAACGCTAAAGGAACAAAGCCCAAGCAAAAACAATCAAATTAACTCAAAAATCCCGAAATTGGCTCAAACTTGGCCCCGGGCCCACATCTCGAAATCCAATAAAAATCACAAAACTGGAAAACTCATTCGCTCACGAGTCTACCCATATCAAATTCACCAAAATCCGACATCAAATGGCCATCCAAATCCCCAAAATCAACTCTCCAAGCCTTCTTCCATTTTTCCCAATTTTCACCCCAAATTCCCAAATTAAATGATAAGAATCAAGACATAACATGAGATTTAACCAAATTTGAGTGAAGAATACTTACCCCAATCAATTCTCTAAAAATCCCTTCAAAAATCGCCTCAACCCGAGCTCCATAGCTCCAAAAATGCAAAAATGGCCGAAATCCTCGAAATAGAGTATATTTTAATCTGCCCAGGCATTTACCCTATGCTATCATGAACAAACTAATGCTATAGCAAAGCACAAAATTTTTCAGCCCTTCTTTTACCCTATGCGATCGCAGCCATACCCCCGCGATCGCGTAGAACAAGTATTTCCAACAGCCTTCTCCAACTCTTCCGGATAGCCTCTACTATAATGGTCATAACTTTTCATACAAAAATCCAAAGTCAGAGCTACAATTTTTATTTTTGGATCATCTTCAAATTCCTTATAGTTTGTGAGATATAACCTTCCAAAGTCGGGTCAGTGCAACATAGATTTTACTCTCAGACGTCACAAGCATAAGAATTCCAAAACTTCTGAATTCCGAATTCGATCAAAAATTCTATCAAACCTCGTCCGAATGACCTGAAATTTTGTACACACGTCACAAATGACATAACGTACATACTCCAATTTTTGGAATTTCATTCCGACCACGATATCAAAATTTTCACTGTCGATCGAAAAATGCCAAATTTCCAATTTCGCCAATTCAAGCCTAAATCTACCACGGACCTCCAAAATACATTCTGGATGCGCTCCCAAGTCCAAAATTACCTAACTGAGCTAACCAAATCATAAAAATCCAAATCCAAGATCGAATACTAAAAAGTCAAAACCTTGTCAAACCTTTCAAATTTAAAGCTTCAAACTGAGAATTGTTCTTCCAAATCTATTTCGATTATCTTGAAAACTAAAACCGGTGATTTACATAAGTCATAATATAAAACACGGGGCTAGTCATGCTCGAGAACTGGCGATCGAAATGCAAAAGCGCAAAATGACCGGTCGGGTCGTTACAATGTGTCTTATTATTACATCTTCTATTCATAGGTCTCAGAATAATATGTAAGTTAAAAACGTTTACTTCATGATATTAATCAAAGGCATAATGGTTTTATGACATTCACGTACTTCTCATGCATTGCATTCATTTACATGTGCATTTACCCATGACTCAAACGACGTTATATATATATANAGATGATATGATGTGATGCCCTCAGAGGCTTTATGATGTTATGTACGTATAGACCTATGCATTACATGACATTTATACGCATATGCATGATACTATAAATATTTCATGATTTACAGAGCTATTCAGATTTACAGGTTGAGTCATTTACTCTATATTTCTTCGATGTCCTTAATTAATATTGACTTACTGTTATGTTTCAGTTCTGCCTTACATACTCGGTACATTATTTGTACTCACGTCCTGTTATTGGGGACACTGCATTCATGCTTGCAGGTATAGATAATCAGATTGATGAAACCCTCGCAATAGATGAGGTCTGCGTTCAGCGAAGGATCGGTAAGACTCCCCCTCATTCGGAGTGCAGCCGAGTTTTATGAGTCAGCGTGTCAGAATTTTTGCTACAGACCTATGGGTAAGCGGTACCCTATCCCATTCTATGTCAAATAATCTTAGAGGCTTTGTAGACGTAGATTTATTATGTACAGTATGTCAAAGGCCTTGACAGCCCGTACGTATCCATGTTTTATGAACGATGGTTAATTGATATAACATTTGCCCGCTTACAATTGTACATTACGAGTTGTGGCCATATTTATGTTGGCTCATGATAATTACAAAAGGAATGAATGAGTTACAGAGTGGTTCGCTCGGGCCAGTGCGATACCGGGTGCTAGCCACGCCTCCCAGGTTCGGAGCGTGACATCATATATATCAATATATCTCAACCGCCTATGTGGATCCCATAGAGAGCTTCATTCAACCAGTCAACCTTTGGACTTGTTTCTTAGTAGTCGGTTCTCCGGTATCCCTTCAATAGCTTTGATGCAGTTTGGGTTGACTCTGATCCCCAGTTGTGACACTAAGAAACCCAAAAACTTTCACGAGGCTATGCCATATGCGTACTTCTCTGAGTTTAGTTTCATTTTGTACCGTCTCAGTATGTCAAAAGCTTCCTTCAAATGGTCGATATGGTCCTCCGCCCTTACGGACTTGAACAACATGTCGTCAGTACGTCGAAAGCTTCCTTGTTGATTGCTATTCCTCTTTTTCTTATCTTTCTTCTGTTGGGTTATCGTGTTTTCTAAGATGATGTAGTAGCATTCTCGGGACGTGCCCCGTTCTCCCTATATGCTGAATATCCCCCAAGGTGTTGGGAATTTGATTACTTGGTGTAAGTTGGAGGGGACGACCCTCATGGGATATATCTATGTTCATCCTACTATGGCATTGTATGTGATGACCTGGTCCATAATATGGAACATTGTCTCCAGAGTTATGCTGCCGGTCAAGACGGGAAGCGTAATTTCACTCGAAGTCCGTTCTACTGCATTATTAAAATCTGTTAGTGTGATGCAGTGCGTCACTATGTCCTCGAGTCTTATTTGGGTGATGACTCGGGGATGGATAATGCACGCTCCACTCCCATCATCTGCCATGATACGTTTGACATCAGTATCTAAAATTCGTAAAGTAATGACAAAAGCATCATTGTGAGGGAAATTCAAACCGACGGTATATGACTCGTCGAAGATGATACTTTCTTCGAGTCCATCATACCGTTTGTGTGTGATAGATCTTTTGAGCTTGTGAGTGGCAGTGAATTTAACGTCGTTGATGGAGGTGTCATCGCTTCCACCGATGATCATGTTGATGGTGCGAGCCACTGATAGTGTCTCCGGGGGGCCTTGAGGTTCACGACCTCTGATGAAGTTGTTTCTCCCCTTGTCACTCAGCAGCTCTTTGAGGTGTCCATGTTGTAGCATCACAACCTCTTGCCTAAGGGCGATACAGTCTTCTATTTTTTGTCTGCATTCCTGATGGAACTTGCAGAGGGCTTCACATTTTGTGGTGCTCGGATTGAAACACCCTGAATTTTATAAATAAATTATGTGTATTAATGTGATCTTGCTTTTATTGCTAATGATTTATCACTTTTCTTTAATTTAATTTTTCTACTTTATTTGATTAAAAAAGGTATTAAAAAACTAAGTATATCCTATTGGATCCCTTAAATATATTTTGACCCATTTGATAAAAATAATATCTAGCTTCTATCCATTTGGAAGATAAACCCTTTATATTAGCAAAATCTCTTTCTATCTCTCATAAGACAAGCTTATTTGAAACCCTAGTTTGGATTTGTGGAGAAACTCTGTCAAACTTGTGGCAAGCTTCTTTTTCAACATATTGTGGTGAAATTATTAAGTTTGTTGTTAGAGAATTTGAGATTTTGAAAGTAAGAGATTTAATCCCGCTTTTGAACTGGGCAGTAGTTAGTATTCTGAGCGTAACGTTTTCTCTAAAACTTGGATTGTAGTGCTTAAAACATTTATAGAAAGATAAGGCATAGATCTACAATTGTTATGAAGACCAAAAATGGTCAGTTCTATTGTCTACTATGTCAAATGAGGGCTGAAATACAGGGCAGAGTTGCTGCCAGATTTTTACTAAAATAATTGTGACCCATTTAGTCCCCCTTTTTGATATTCATCATGATTTGGTTTAAACATATTTGAATTTCAGACCTTAAGTGAGTGTTGATTACGTGTTTAAGGTACAACAGACATTCATTCAAGCTAAGGAGCACACCTTAGGAAAATCGCTCTTTTCTTGGCTTAGAAAATCTTAAATCCCTTGATGTCATTTGAGCTTTAGAAACACTAAAGCTACAAGGTTTGCACATAACTTGAGTGTTTCTTTCACTTTAATTTGTTGAGATATTGTAAGTGGTTAAGGTTTGATGAAATTTAGGTAAAATTTGTCGTCATATTGATTTGGTTCTACTTTACTAGTTTACTTGCTTTGTTGCTGGAGAAAGAATATCTTGAGGCATTTTGATTTATTAGTGGTCATTAAGGGTATAATTTCGTAATAGAGTTATGAATATGTTAAAAATCATATGAGTGTCATGTGAAGTATTTTTGAAAGACAATTTAACTCGCCCACATATACCGATTGCTTGAGCATCATTGCATTCTTGTCAGGATTTTATCCCTTTGTGATGGTGACTTTATCACTTTTATTGGCATGCCTTTTGTTTGGATCTTGACCCATCTTGACTTTGGATTCACACTCCATCTTAATCATGGACTTTTTCCATTTTGTGTTGGATGGAAAAGCCACTTTCAATATGACTCTTGATTCTCTTGATAATTGGGTGACGACCCTACTTGATCTAGCACTCCGGTCCTTCTGGTTACTTGATTATATTTTGATGTAATTGCATGATGCATGTGTTGGGAGAATCAACTAATCGGTGGACTTTCTCGGATTATAGTTGAAAATCTTCTTGATATTGGAGATTTTAAATAATGGTATTTTAAACTATTTTATGATTTGATATTTAGCCCTCTTGAGATGATTGTACCTTCATTAAGTACTTGATGCTGATTTTAATAAGCTCATATCTAGAATTTATTCCTTGTATTTCTTTCATAGCTTACCTTTCTTTTATTATGAAATATTAGTTAAGTTTATGAGGCAATAAGATTTATGCTTAGCGATAGTTTGTTACTATCGTAGGTGATGTGCCGGGAGATGCTTGAGGATATCATTTGAAATAGACTCTTTAGAAGATTAGATGAAGATCACACTTGCATAGGCATATGTAATTTTTTGTTTGTAGACTTTTGTGGACTTGTACATGATCCATATGATATACTTAGATATGCACTCTTGAATGATTACTATGTCATGACATTATTATTTTGTTAACCTAATCTTGGTAAATGATTTGACTATTTTGGGGGTGTTTATGCCCAAGTCTTATATTTTATTAAATTTGGTACTTGAATTGAACTTGGGAGATTATTTTTGAAGACTTAACTAGCTTTTATTTGATTGAGAGTTGAACTTTATGCTTAGTTTGAGTCTCGAATGGTGTATGAAAAAGATATTCTTCTACTAGGTATTTGGTAAATTTTAATGTATAAATTTAACTTAAATAGATGTTGCCATTTTCTTCTTCTTTTTTTTCCTTTTTTTAATAGTTGTATCTTGAAATTTTAAAGAGATTTTTATGAGATTTTTCTAAGTTGAGATGTCATATGTCGAAGTTTATTCACGGGAATATTTCTTTTCCTCTTTTTGATAGTTTATTTTATTAAAAGAATGGTTAAATTTATAAGTATTACATTAGTGTTTATAAGTAGCATCCTCCTAGGGGGTTGCTACACGGATCGAACCTCATCGTTGGCGGCCACTTTACCTTCGTTCTGAGTTTCTCCAGGGCATAGATTATTTCTGTAGGTGACACACAAAAATTGTGAGCAGACAGTAAGGGGGCATGCCTCTTTCATTCTGGTGAGTCCCCGTCCTCGACTTAGACGGGCCATCATCATAGAAGAAGGAAGACCGGGAAGGGGGGAGGATGACGTATGGTTGACGTCGCTCCTTGTTTGGTTGTGAGACCAGGTGATCCCTCCTATGTTATCTCTACATTCTTTCCTGGGCTCGTCTTGTACCGAGATGAGCTGTTGGGTTAGTCTATTGAGGTCGTCATTATCTGATCGTACTTCGACACAGTAAGCATTGTGGATTTTATCCCAAGTGGTTAGAGGATACTTCATCAAACGGTTCAACAATTTTTTGGTTGCTCTTGAACCCTCTCTACTCAACCCGTTCTGAAACACTACGACTGCCATCCCTTAGGAGACGTTTGGTAGGGTCATCTTTACCTTGTCGAATCGGGCTAGGAAGTCCCTCAGTCCTGCTCCCAAGGAATGTTTGATGACGAGAATGTCATTTACTCTTGTTTCGGCTTTGTTGGCCCCAGCATGCGCCATTACAAACTTATCTGCCATTTCTTCGAAGGTTTCTGTAGAGCGGGTTGGTAGCTGTGAATACCATGTTAATGCCCCTCCCATGAGGGTTTCGCCAATTTTTTCAGCAGAATAAAGGACACTTGTTCTTTTGTGAGTTCGTTGCCCTTCACGGAGGTAACGTAATGAGTCACGTGATCTTCAGAGTCAGTCTTTACGCCATATATCCTGAGATATGGTGGAATTTTAAAGGTCTTTGGTATGGCATGTGGGGATGCTTCCTCGCTGTACGGCTGCTCTATGAATCTGTCGGCATCCCTCTTTTGCAGTAGCTTAGAGGCGCCCGATATCTTATCAACTCGTTCTTTGTGTTCTTTCATTTGATCTCTGAACATTTTGTTTTCGTTCTTCATTTCTTCCGTCCTCTTTAGAATAGTGGCGAGGACGTTGTCATCTGCATTGTTAGTAATATTGTGAGTTATACCTAGTGTTGGAGGGTCTGGTTGGTCGCCCTGCTTGTCTGCTCATTGCACGGTGTGGGATCTTGTGGTCTTCATGGTCGTGCATGGAGTAGGTTTTTTGAGCATGCTAACTAGTGTATCGGTCAACCACGCTTCGAGGAGCTTTTTCATGGCCAATGGCGTCCTTTCTCCTGTAGACGTGAAGACCCCTTTTCCATTTGGTTTTGTTATGCCATAATGGAGGGGAGCGACCTCTCGCGCCTGGGGGAGGCAGTGGGTGTCGCGTCATCGCCCAGCATTTCACAGCTCTCATTGATAACGTTCATGAGGTTGCCAGGGAAGTCACCTACCACTTTAGTCTTATCTCCTTGGTTACCTGCTATGTAAGTATCTGTACGTGTAAAGAAAGAGAAAAACTTTGTGGTTCGTTAGGTTAGCTACTCACATGAGTTGTAGATCTAAAGGAAAATAAAAATTAGCTAAGAATTCCCTACATACGGCGCCAAACTGTTTGATCCAAAAAACTAGATCCGGGTTCAACTAATTAGATTTAAATAAAGTATAGTCAATCTTAGTTAATATTAATATCCAAAAGACAATATGACTGATTTGTAATAAAATAATACGTATGTGTTAGGTCGGGTGGAAATAAATGTGAACAATGTCTACAATATTTAATGGCTCAAAGGGAGTGAGATAACATTAACTAACAATAAATAGCAATGGATGATATTTATTTAAATAAGAACGTATGAGTCACCCGAAAAGGGGTAAGATCCGTTGATATTCCTTTTGACAATGATGAATGATTGATAAGCCTTCGAACACTCAGGTTGTTCTTGGATCAACTGGAAAAGTTAGACAAGAATCTTAGTAAAATGGTATATTTCGTATGTTTGCAATAGGGTCAAATTCTCTCAATAAAGTCAATGTCTTCTCTTACAAGTGAATATCTTCTATCACCTATCATTGCGTCTCTTTCTATTTATAGGGAACATATTCCTAAAAACCCTAATAGTACTGGTACAGAGATATCCACTAGAATATTCTCTTTTGTGTCTTATCTTAAAATTAGTCATTATAACTCTGTCTAAGATGCTCGACCTTGACCTTGATCTATGACGACTTTACGAACTTGATCTTCACTGACTCCTCGATCGCACCCTTCATCGCCTCAAGGATACTTCGACCTAGGGCAGATTTTTGTTGAAATCTTACTGATATCACGTGGCGGCCGATGAAGGCTATCATGATGATGACGTGGCTTGCCTATATCAAAAGATATTTTTTGGCCCATACATGTTGATCATCTCTTACTTGTTATGAATTTATATTTTCAATAATGTTTGAACTATTAATTTCAAAGTTATAAGAAAATGTTTAAATAAACTTTTCATGTTTAGCAAAGAAAAGCAATGGTTATTACTTCTAGTTCAATTAACTTATATTCTAATGTACCTCAATTAAGATTTTCTCTCAAAATTGTACTTTCTTTTGGATAATGAATTAATGATACTAAATTTGTTTTGGTTTTCATTTAAGGCCAAATACATCGACAATCCCTTAAAGTTTTTCACACTTTTCACTAAGATACTTCATTTTAAGTATGTTCCTTTACTTTTACCGTGTCATTCAGACACAATATGCTAACAGGCAAAGTAAGTGTCTCTCACATTTTTCAAGCGCGTGAAAATGATCTGAAAAACAAACCTTTCATACTTGCCGAAAAATGAATATTTTTGATGAAAAAAATTTTCAGTGAAAATTTCTTTTAAATTTTTAGATCTTCCAAAAACTCTTCAGATCCGAAAGCTCTGCGGTGAGACCTAATGGGTCGCAGGAGAATTTTGTCGGCACCAATTTATTCCGGCTAGGCAATGTTGAGAATATGCTTAACTTGTTGGTGCACTGGATAAACAAACTAAGACCCAAAAATTTGTTCCTATTGCAGCAACATTAACAAGAAAATTTGCTCAAAGGTTGTTTTTGATTGATTTGTCATTAAGAAAAAGGTATTTTTGGTTCCTCTTATGTTGTGATGGGCAAGGTTTCGCGTGAAGATTTGACGCCGATAGGCGGTGATCCGCGACAACAGCCATGGCGTTATCGGCTTCTCTTTGCCCCATTTTACACAGATATGAGCCTCAAGGATTTTCAGTAAAGGATGGTCGGCCCTCTCTGTCATGTCCATGATTTTTCCATTATTAAAACCAATAATTTTTTGAGAAAAGAAGAACAATAAAAGGAAAATATTGAACCATCTCGGCAGCACTCCTTTATCTCTGTAAAAAGGGGCTATTGTGCTCTTTCTCTTTCTGCTGTTACAACAACTAATTTGCACAAATAGCTGATTTTCTTCGCTAGAAATTTTTTTCTCCAATCATTTTGGTTCCAAACTCTCAGTAGTTTTAACCTAAAATGGAAGAATGAAGAAAAAGAAGAAAAAGAAGAAAAAAAAGTTAAATTTCTGGAGGAGAAGAAAGAGCTGGAAAAGTAATGGCCGGACATTGATTTTTACACTGAGGAGGAATCGTTGGGGAAGATGACTCGTTTTTTTAATTTGATTAAGTTAAATCCACATGTCCTCGTCTTATTCGTTATTGTGGTGTGTGAATTACATGCACCTTTTGTGGTTGGCTGCTTACGAATTTTGTGTCTAAACGATACAGTAAAGGCCTGGTTAAAGTATTTAAATGGAACAAAGTTAAAATAAAATGTCTAAATAAAAAATGTGGACAACTTTAAGGGTCTGTCAATGTATTTGGCCTTCGTTTAAAGTACACTAATAATACCTAATCACATGTAAATCATGCAAGTGAAGTGGGACCTTAAGCATAGCAGGGGCAAACAAATTTAATTCACAAAAGGGTATCGATTAGCAAGAACGGTAAAAAGTTGTCACATCGCCCCCCCCCCCCCCCCCCTCTAAAAGAAAGAAAAAAAGAAAAGGAGGAATGTATATCTTTAGCAGCTTCCTAAAATATTAGCCGACAATATATATATTTTTTGTATATAGTTATACACTTTTCGACTAGTGAATGCAATTAGTTTCAGCCGACCGACGATTTTACATTTTGGCCAAAGGAAAAAAAGAAAAAGAATCTCAAAATTGAAATACAAGTTACATAGTCTTCCTCTTCCATATAAATTACAAAACCAGAAAAAGATAATACCATCTATTAAATACATTATATATCTTCCATCAATAAGTTATAGGTTCTTGAAAGATAAAATTGGTGGCAAACAAGAAAAAAAAAACATGGAGGCTACTCTTAGTTTACCCCACAACTATAAACCATATCTCAGTATATATGTCCTACACAAAAATCAACTCTTTCCATTTTTCTGATTGTTCACATGCTTTCTTTTGAAAGAGAAAGCCATCAAGCAGATGTGCACCACAAAACATCCTATAAACATAAAAAGTTGTTGCCACAAATAAGAAGAATGGCGGTATAAACATGACTTACTTCCAGTGGTAGATCCAGAATTTAGATGTTGTGAGTTCTACATAATTCTATCGATATTTGCTTTTCGTGCATATATATAAAAATCAACCCACTTAGGTTCAGTCGAACCAACGAACCTTTTGTTGGATCCACCACTGCTTACTTCATTTTGTCATGCATTAAGGGGCTTAGATTATTCCCCTCTATTTTCTGAAGTCACTTCAGATGAAGCAATTGTACCGTGGAAGCTCTTTGATGCAGGAGTAGGATTATGTTGAGGTTCATTATTCACCTTCCTTTGGCCTGCCTCAGCTAGTCGTCTAAGAAGATTCGTGACTGTAGGAAGGAACTTTGTGGATAAAGAGAGAAGTCCAGGAAGCTGTCAACACATGTGTCAAGATCAGGTAACAGATAGATTGTTATTTTGAAAGTTCTCATCATTGTAATGGAAGAAATGAAGTGCAGCAATCATACTTATATCCCATCCGTTTGTATTGCTTCATGTATAGACCCCTTTTGTCCAGGTCTAAACAGTTAACTCTAAAAATGTTACAGAAAAGAAAGGAAGGTACAAATGTGTTTCATCTTAGCAGACTAGATTAGGAAATAACTCCTGAAAGCCCACATAAAACATTCCAAAGATTATGATGAATCGAAACGCCATTGAAAGGTTAAAACGTATTTGTGTTGGCGATTTTAGCTTTGCATGAACTTTTACAAGAACAACAACAACCCAATATAATCCCACAAGTAAGGTATGGGGAGGATAGTATGTATGTAGATCTTATGGGCAGAGAGGTTGTTTCCAATAGACCCTCGGCTCAACAGAATTCTAGAGAGTTGCAAAAGAAAATGGTAGGAAGTGTCATACTTTAGGACAATGGAGGAAGTTTAACAACAATATCTTATGAATGAGCAAAGACCAAGAGTTCATACAGTTATTTGGTCAAATGCTTCTAATGCAACAAAACTGAAATTTTAACAAATCATATTCAACACTTACAGCGCCATTGCGGAATTCGCCCGAGATGTCCAGTTGCACCCAGAGGGCTTTCACTAGTAGAAAGGCAACAAATATGACTCCCAAATACAAAGGATTTCTGAAAAGAGTAAAAAACCAATGTGACATATG